GTGTCCCCCCTGTGCCAGTACTTCCCGTGTCCCCCCTGTGCCAGTACCACCCGTGTCCCCCCCCCGTGCCAGTACTTCCCGTGTCCCCCCCCTGTGCCAGTACTTCCCGTGTCCCCCCCTGTGCCAGTACTTCCCGTGTCCCCCCCTGTGCCAGTACTTCCCGTGTCCCCCCCTGTGCCAGTACTTCCCGTGTCCCCCCCTGTGCCAGTACTTCCCGTGTCCCCCCCTGTGCCAGTACTTCCCGTGTCCCCCCCTGTGCCAGTACTTCCCGTGTCCCCCCCTGTGCCAGTACCACCCGTGTCCCCCCTGTGCCAGTACCACCCGTGTCCCCCCTGTGCCAGTACCACCCGTGTCCCCCCTGTGCCAGTACAACCCGTGTCCCCCCTGTGCCAGTACCACCCATGTACCCCCCCTGTGCCAGTACCACCCGTGTCCCCCCTGTGCCAGTACCACCCGTGTCCCCCCCTGTGCCAGTACCACCCGTGTCCCCCCTGTGCCAGTACCACCCGTGTCCCCCCCCTGTGCCAGTACCACCCGTGTCCCCCCTGTGCCAGTACCACCCGTGTCCCCCCTGTGCCAGTACCACCCGTGTCCCCCCTGTGCCAGTACCACCCGTGTCCCCCCTGTGCCAGTACCACCCGTGTCCCCCCTGTGCCAGTACCACCCGTGTCCCCCCTGTGCCAGTACAACCCGTGTCCCCCCTGTGCCAGTACATCCCGTGTCCCCCCTGTGCCAGTACATCCCGTGTCCCCCCTGTGCCAGTACATCCCGTGTCCCCCCTGTGCCAGTACATCCCGTGTCCCCCCTGTGCCAGTACATCCCGTGTCCCCCCTGTGCCAGTGCCTCCCGTGTCCCCCCTGTGCCAGTACTTCCCGTGTCCCCCCTGTGCCAGTACTTCCCGTGTCCCCCCCCCGTGCCAGTACTTCCCGTGTCCCCCCCCCGTGCCAGTACTTCCCGTGTCCCCCCCTGTGCCAGTACTTCCCGTGTCCCCCCCTGTGCCAGTACTTCCCGTGTCCCCCCCTGTGCCAGTACTTCCCGTGTCCCCCCCTGTGCCAGTACTTCCCGTGTCCCCCCCTGTGCCAGTACTTCCCGTGTCCCCCCCTGTGCCAGTACCACCTGCGTCCCCCCTGTGCCAGTACCACCCGCGTCCCCCCCCCCTGTGCTAGTACCAGCCGTGTCCCCCCCCCCTGTGCCAGTACCACCCATCCCCCCCCGTGCCAGTACCACCCGTATCCCCCCTGTGCCAGTACGACCCGTGTCCCCCCTGTGCCAGTACCACCCGTGTCCCCCCCTGTGCCAGTACCACCCGTGTCCCCCCCTGTGCCAGTACCACCCGTGTCCCCCCCTGTGCCAGTACCACCCGTGTCCCCCCTGTGCCAGTACCACCCGTGTCCCCCCCTGTGCCAGTACGACCCATGTCCCCCCCTTTGCCAGTACGACCCGTGTACCCCCTGTGCCAGTACCACCCGTGTACCCCCTGTGCCAGTACCACCCATGTCCCCCCCTGTGCCAGTACCACCCGTGTCCCCCCCTGTGCCAGTACCACCCGTGTTAAATGATTTGTCTTCATCTACTTTGTCAATTCCCCCTGAGAATTTCGGTCCCAACAATTTAGGTGTTATGATGTCTAGATAAGCGTGCCTTTTCGGCGCGCACACGCACGATTATCTTGCCATATTTTCGGAGCTGATGATGTTTTAGATTCAGCTACTCTGAATCAAAAGTTTCAAGTAGCACGGGCTATCTTATTGTATCATTTGTGATATAAAAGATTATCGATATGCATTTGTGTAAATGATTGTATAACATTAATAATTGTGTAACTAGCAGCACAAGAATGTCACTTGCTTTGCTAAACGAACTATAGGGTTCAGTTCCTGAACCCATTATGGGCCTCTGTAACCCTTTCCACCACCGCCCAAGGAAGGGTATGGGGTGCATAACAATGAAAGAAATTGAATTATGGCAAGACCGTAGTGTACTTATCTGGCACAGGAGCGGGGCTGTATCTGGAGGAAGGTCGTTGAACAGTGTCGGGCCCAAGGAAGGGTATGGGGTGCATAACAATGAAAGAAATTGAATTATGGTAAGACCGTAGTTACTTATCTGGCACAGGAGCGGGGCTGTATCTGGAGGAAGGTCGTTGAACAGTGTCGGGCCCAAGGGTATGGGGTGCATAACAATGAAAGAAATTTAATAATGTAAGACCGTAGTGTACTTATCTGGCACAGGAGCGGGGCTGTATCTGGAGGAAGGTCGTTGAACAGTGTCGGGCCCCTGATGTCGATAGAGTTCTGAGTATATTGACATGTTTTCTATACTCCTATTTCACCAATCTTTCCTACACTGAAGGGAAAAGTGAGTATGGAAGGGTGAAGGGTGGTAGGGAGGCAGACCACCACAAGTGATTTGAATAATATGAGCATTGTGGTGGGAATCCCTAGAGTTGAAGGTTCTCGTAATTCATCCTATCATTTGGTCTACAACCTCATTGGTAGTTTAAGGGCTCTGTGCATACCAGTTCCTCTTTAATATACAGACCTACTCCTCCATTTGACCTATTTATCACATCTATATATATTATAATTCCGGATCCAGATTTTACTATTAGTGTAATCTTTCTTATGGGCTTGTCAATACTCCATATACTGAATGTCTTGCACGGCCAAGAGGGAGTGTGAAGAGGTGAGAGGAAAGGAATGCGAGGGTGAGAGGGAGTGTGAAAAGTAAGATGGGCGAGATGGAGGAAGAGTTAGGGTGAGAGACACGAGTAAGCAAACAGCAACTCAACACACGGGAAGGTGGCCAGCAGCGTAAGCCGGAATGTTGGGTGGTGGTGCACGGAGGAAGGGGGGGGGGGTGGTGGTGGTGCACGGAGGAAGGAGGGGGAGTGGTGGTGGTGCACGGAGGAAGGAGGGGGGGTGGTGGTGGTGCACGAAGGGGGGGTGGTGGTGGTGGTGCACGGAGGAAGGGGGGTGCACGGAGGAAGGGGGGTGCACGGAGGAAGGGGGGTGCACGGAGGAAGGGGGGGTGCACGGAGGGGGGGTGGTGGTGCACGGAGGAGGGGGGGGTGGTGGTGCACGAAGGGGGGGGGTGGTGGTGCACAGAGGAAGGGGGGGGGTGGTGGTGCACAGAGGAAGGGGGGGGGTGGTGCACAGAGGAAGGGGGGCGGGTGGTGGTGCACAGAGGAAGGGGGGGGTGGTGGTGCACAGAGGAAGGGGGGGGTGGTGGTGCACGGAGGAAGGGGGGGTGGTGGTGCACGGAGGAAGGGGGGGGTGGTGGTGGTGCACGGAGGAAGGGGGGGTGGTGCACGGAGTAAAAGGGGGGGGTGGTGGTGGTGCACGGAGGAAGGGTGGGGGGTAGTGGTAGTGCACGAAGGGTGGGGGGTGGTGGTGGTGCACGGAGGAAGGGTGGGGGGTGGTGGTGGTGCACGGAGGAAGGGTGGGGGGTGGTGGTGGTGCACGGAGGAAGGGTGGGGGGGTGGTGGTGGTGCACGGAGGAAGGGTGGGGGGTGGTGCACGGAGGAAGGGTGGGGGGTGGTGGTGCACGGAGGAAGGGTGGTGGTGGTACACGGAGGAAGGGTGGTGCACAGTAACTGGTATGTAGTGGCGGGAGGCGTGAAGGGGGTACACACACCGGGGGGGGGGGGACAATGAGTTGTGAGGGGGTGCAGAGGAAGGCGGGAGTGTGTAGTGAGGCAGAGGGGACGCTGCGTGCGTGCGCTGATATGGGGGGGAGAGGGGATGCGTACAGGGGGGAGGGGGCAAATGCGAAAGCGACCTCAGGGAGGGGGAAGGCAACAGCGCGGAGAGGGAGGGAGAATGCGAGAGCGTTGTGAGGGTGGGAGGGAGGGAGTGGTGTCGACAGCGTGTTGGAGGAGGGGGGAGGGGAAGGCGAGAGCGTGGTGCGGGAGGGGGAGACGGTTAGCGTGTGGTGGGGGAACTGAAGTAGAGCCGAGGGTGGTGATGGATAGGAGGGGCGGTGGAGGGGACTAAGGTCTGGGTGGGAAGATAGGGAAGGGGGATTAGGGAGGTGGTAGAGGGGTGTAACAGGACGGGGTGGGAATCATGAGGAATGGATGAAAGGGAGCGAGGACGGAGGAGGTGGAAGGGACCAGTAAACATTACGGTGAGAAGAAAGGGGAGCGGGAAGGATGAGGGTGGAGAAGGGAGGCAGGAGGGGGGGGGGGGAGGCCAGGAGGGGCGGAGAGGTGGGGGGGTTGTGAGAGCGAGGTGCTGGGACCAGGCGAGGGAGAGGGAGGGCTGGTAACGGTAGGACCAGCTGATCACAACAACGTGCAACTCTCCCACTGCCACACTTGTGCTCCTCGTAGCTCTTTCATCAACGTGTTATGTCATCACCCTCCTCCTCCTCCATAATGACAACGGTTGTCTTCTACAACACAAACATCTCTTCATTCATGCCGTAGGAAATGTGCCCTTCATTCCCGCAGTGCTGACGAGACCATCGACCCAGAATTTCTCCATATATGAGAGGGAAGTTGTGGCTTAGAGTGGCTTGGGTGCCAGGCGCCGGGGCCAGGCCTCACCCCACCTGGCGCCGGCGCCGCCCGCCTCCACACACCACACCTTCACCTGAAAAATAACCTAAAGAGACACATAGGCTCACCCGTAGACCTTGCACATCGTCTCTCCCGCCACAACAATTACAATTAAACCCTTACGACAACATTAATTCGGCTAAATACAGCTTCCTACACAAAGCCCAATCACTACCGATCCTCTTAATGTACATATAATATGAACTAATTGTCTCATTTTCGCGTAAACCAAGAAAAATCAATTAAGAGTCGCTACGCGCCCAGACGCACCAGTAAACCATCCGCCATTTTCTTTTGTCAGAGGTCACGATAGAGAGGGAGCAGCAGTTTTCTTAACATATTTTCTCTTATACTTACTCTACACTATAAAACTTCCAAATCAAAACTACTCGTACACTGAAATATAAATAATAAAAATATAGACATAACTCAATCTTACCTGGCAGATGAATAATCCAAAAGTTAAATCCAGAGAATAATCCGTACGACCCACCACTACCAAGCTCCGCGAGCACACTGAGCCAGACGATGGCTACTACCGTACACTCCACCACGATGTCATCTCCTGACTTTTACTACTGTATTTATTTACCTCTAGTTTACAATACAACTAAGGCGACATTGAAGCACGTGTTAATGTGCCTCGGTCACATCTCATCTAAAATATAATTCTCAAAATTGCGTAAAAGTTAAATGGGGTGAAAGTTACTTTTATCACGTGATCAAAGTACATGTTAATTGAGAGAATTTGCTTAGCTTACTGATAATTTCTTGTAAACTCTTCAGTATAGTAACATATCTATATGAATTTTGTCAGTGCTGTATATTATATTTCCCGTAGATTGGCGGAATAATGTTAGAGATTACTTATATATTTATTATATTGAAGGTAGAGTTTCCTTTAAGCGGGGTCCACTGCCCCCTCCCTCACACATATGACAATCTTCTCCGCTGTTAACTTCTTTAACAAAGTTTCAAAACATATTTCTTTATTTTTATATAGTTTTGTCTTCACACTTTAACTCTTCATACGGATTAAATCGAAAAAAATATAAATTATTTCCACTGAATATCAAGCCTTGGTTGACAGTTGCTAGGTCGCATCCTCACAAATGTGTACGATAATGAAGATATTTTACGTATCCCAATTTAAAATACACTTTCGAATAACAGAAAAAAATATTCAAACAGTTACTAATACATTTGATCAATTTGCTTATGTTAATATGTATTGTTAGAGACCTAAATGAACATGTAAAGATATTGGAAAATATTACTAAGTGATCCCCGGAGTGAAGTTGATAGCTGGCGCATATTTGTGAGGACCCTGAGAGAGGCTAGCGCGACCCCAGCCCGGCTCGCTCCACGTCTGCCAACACTCTCCCCCATTTAAATATCCCAATAACTTTTTATTTCTAATAAATATGTCATATCTTTATTTAAAATGTTCAAGATTATTTATAACATAATATTATGAAGGTTTTTGGACGTATGTGAAATAGTTTATGAAGAAATAAATCTGTTGCTTTAAAAGTTGGGAAAAGTTCGGGAATGTTGGCTGCTCTTTGAATTAATTGAGAGAAAAGGCAGGAAACCCGCTGACTACGAGGCGGGAGAATAATAACAACAATATTGTCAATTATCATTCTGGATAAATAACGTGTATAATCTATATTAAAGTTTGTGACCGTGCTACAAAATATACACGAAGTGTAATTAACGAAGAGTGAAGATTTAAATACCAAGCAAGTGACGAAAATGTAGAATAAAAAAAGTGATCGTTGGCATCTGTGGGCCGCGGCCGGAGCAGCTGACAAATGTGTCACTAACGTTAAGAATGAGTGAGGGAGAGAGAGCAGGAGTAGGGGGCCTAATTACCCTCAAAACTCCTCCACACAAAATGTTATCCTTACACTTTCTCATCAGTAATGTTGCCCAAGAAAGTTATTGCAAATTAGTGACATACAAATAAGTATTAGGGATAATAATCTTTACACTTCATTGATTATTATATTGAGCAGATCGGGACCTTATAAGAGGAAAGCGATGGGTGGGGGGCCGATGGGTGTCCCCCAGAAAGATTTTATGGTCCCCCTCTCATCGCCCCCCCCCTAACCCTCGCCCCCACAAACTCTCCGCTGAAATTAAAAGGCAAATGTAATCCCCTCCCAGGGCGGCTAGATTATCTTTATAAGATTAAATGTTTTTATGGCCACCTGTTTGTGTGAGGACGAGTCCACACCGCAGTGTGTCGCAGGGAGTTCTGGCCTCCACCAGACATGCTTCCCTGGCCTTCCTCACACTAGCCTGGCCTTCCTCACACACTACCCTAGCCTTCCTCACACTAGCCTGGCCTTCCTCACACTAGCCTGGCCTTCCTCACACTAGCCTGGCCTTCCTCACACTACCCTGGCCTTCCTCACACACTACCCTAACCTTCCTCACACTAGCCTGGCCTTCCTCACACCAGCCTGGCCTTCCTCACACTAGCCTGGCCTTCCTCACACTAGCCTGGCCTTCCTCACACACTACCCTGGCCTTCCTCACACTACCCTGGCCTTCCTCACACTAGCCTGGCCTTCCTCACACTACCCTAGCCTTCCTCACACACTACCCTAGCCTTCCTCACACTACCCTAGCCTTCCTCACACTAGCCTGGCGTTCCTCACACTAGCCTGGCCTTCCTCACACTAGCATGGCCTTCCTCACACCAGCCTGGCCTTCCTCACACACTACCCTAGCCTTCCTCACACACTACCCTGGCCTTCCTCACACTACCCCTGGCCTTCCTCACACACTACCCTAGCCTTCCTCACACTAGCCTGGCCTTCCTCACACCAGCCTGGCCTTCCTCACACACTACCCTAGCCTTCCTCACACACTACCCTAGCCTTCCTCACAGTAGCCTGGCCTTCCTCACACTACCCTGGCCATCCTCACACACTACCCTAGCCTTCCTCACAGTAGCCTGGCCTTCCTCACACTAGCCTGGCCTTCCTCACACTAGCCTGGCCTTCCTCACACTACCCTGGCCTTCCTCACACTAGCCTGGCCTTCCTCATACTACCCTGGCTTTCCTCACACTAGCCTGGCCTTCCTCACACACTAGCCTGGCCTTCCTCACACACTACCCTGGCCTTCCTCACACTAGCCTGGCCTTCCTCACACTAGCCTGGCCTTCCTCACACTACCCTGGCTTTCCTCACACTAGCCTGGCCTTCCTCACACTAGCCTGGCCTTCCTCACACACTACCCTGGCCTTCCTCACACTAGCCTGGCCTTCCTCACACACTACCCTGGCCTTCCTCACACTAGCCTGGCCTTCCTCACACACTACCCTGGCCTTCCTCACACTAGCCTGGCCTTCCTCACACTAGCCTGGCCTTCCTCACACTACCCTGGCTTTCCTCACACTAGCCTGGCCTTCCACACACTAGCCTGGCATTCCTCACACACTACCCTGGCCTTCCTCACACTACCCTGGCCTTCCTCACACTAGCCTGGCCTTCCTCACACACTAGCCTGGCCTTCCTCACACACTACCCTAGCCTTCCACACACTAGCCTGGCATTCCTCACACACTACCCTGGCCTTCCTCACACACTACCCTGGCGTTCCTCACACTACCCTGGCCTTCCTCACACACTACCCTGGCCTTCCTCACACTAGCCTGGCCTTCCTCACACACTACCCTAGCCTTCCTCACACTAGCCTGGCCTTCCTCACACACTAGCCTGGCCTTCCTCACACTAGCCTGGCCTTCCTCACACACTAGCCTGGCCTTCCTCACACACTAGCCTGGCCTTCCTCACACACTACCCTGGCATTCCTCACACTAGCCTGGCCTTCCTCACACACTAGCCTGGCCTTCCTCACACACTACCCTGGCCTTCCTCACACTAGCCTGGCCTTCCTCACACACTAGCTTGGCCTTCCTCACACACTAGCCTGGCCTTCCTCACACACTACCCTGGCCTTCCTCACACTAGCCTGGCCTTCCTCACACTAGCCTGGCCTTCCTCACACTAGCCTGGCCTTCCTCACACACTAGCCTGGCCTTCCTCACACTAGCCTGGCCTTCCTCACACTACCCTGGCCTTCCTCACACTAGCCTGGCCTTCTTCACACACTACCCTGGCCTTCCTCACACTAGCCTGGCCTTCTTCACACTACCCTGGCCTTCCTCACACTAGCCTGGCCTTCCTCACACTAGCCTGGCCTTCCTTACACTAGCATGGCCTTCCTCACACTAGCCTGGCCTTCCTCACACTCTTCTGGCCTTTCCTCACACTACCCTGCCCTTCCTCACACTAGCCTGGCCTTCCTCATACTAGCCTGGCCTTCCTCACACTAGCCTGGCCTTACTCACACACTAGCCTGGCCTTCCTCACACTACCCTGGCCTTCCTCACATTAGCCTGGCCTTCCTTACACTAGCCTGGCCTTCCTCACACTACCCTGGCCTTCCTCACACTAGCCTGGCCTTCCTCACACTAGTCTGGCCTTCCCTTACACTAGCCAGGCCTTCCTCACACTACCCTGGCCTTCCTCACACTAGTCTGACCTTCCCTCACACTACCCTGGCCTTCCTCACACTAGCCTGGCCTTCCATCACACTACCCTGGCCTTCCTCACACTACCCGGGCCTTCCTCACACTAGCCTGGCCTTCCTCACACTACCTTGGCCTTCCCTCACACTAGTCTGGCGTTCTCTCACACTACCCTGGCCTTCCTCACACTGCCCTGGCCTTCCTCACACTACCATGGCCTTCCTCACACTACCCTGGCCTACCCTCACACTAGTCTGGCCTTCTTCACACTACCCTGGCCTTCTTCACACTACCCTGACCTTCCCTCACAATAGTCTGGCCTTCCTCACACTACCCTGGCCTTCCCTCACACTAGTCTGGCCTTCCTCACACAATATCCTGGCCTTCCTCACACTACCCTAGCCTTCCTCACACTAGCCTGGCCTTCCACACACTAACCTGGCCCTCCTCACACTAGCCTGGCCTTTCTCACACTAGTCTAGCCTCCCGCACACTACCCTAGCCTTCCTCACACTAGCTTGGCCTTCCTCACACACTAGCCTGGCTTTCCTCACACACTAGCCTGGCCTTCCTCACACACTAGCCTGGCCTTCCTCACACACTAGCCTGGCCTTCCTCACATTCGCCTGGCCTTCCTCACACTAGCTTGGTCATCCTCACACTAGCCTGGCCTTCCTCACACTAGCCTGGCCTTCCTCACACTAGCCTGGCCTTCCTCACACTAGCCTGGCCTTCCTCACACACTATCCTGGCCTTCCTCACACACTATCCTGGCCTTCCTCACACTACCCTGGCCTTCCTCACACACTAGCCTGGCCTTCCTCACACACTACCCTGGCCTCCCTCACACTAGCCTAGCCTCCCTCACACACACTAGCCTGGCCTTCCCTCACACTAGCCTAGCCTCCCTCCCTCACACTAGCCTGCCTCCCTCCCTCACACTAGAGTCCCTCCCTCACTCA